GGTACCATATCTTACCTTACTCTGAGAGGACTGGGACTATTTACCCTTGTGACAGACTGAAAGTTAAACCCTTCTTTTATGAAATGAGGAGATGCTTATCTTCATAGGGATATTTATGTCTATTTCTATCTATGTCTTTCTCTAATTTCACTTCACAGGGAAAGATATTATCTATATATATATATCTCCTATATATTTTATATATAGACATATTATAAATATTAAAAATTCTTATAAATTATAAATATATGTGCTATACATAGTATGTAAAATATATAATGTACGTTATAAATAAACTGTAAATATGTTTGTAATATATATGTTTACATAATATAAATTATCTGTCACCTATTTATTTGTTAATTTGGGGTACTTCTTTGCCTTTCCTACCCACAGTGGTGTTGCCAGCAATACCATTTATTGATTCATAGAATACCTTCGTTGCCTTATATGTGGTTATGGTTTGATATATAATATTGCATCTGGGCATATTTTGATAGGAAGTGAAGTGTGACCATGGGTTTACACCCACTGCATTCACTGGACTTACCTGTGCTCCAAACCCCAGAAACAACTGGCTTGCTAGAGTAGTGTAGTGGCATACAGAAGAAGGCTCAGTTTTTATATCAACTGGGAGGTGAACATCTTGCAATTTCAGGACACTCTCTGATGCAGTACATATCTTAAACCAGTGACATATATATATATATATATATATATATATATATATATATATATACACACATACACATATACATATACATATAGCTACCTGTTTTAAAGCTGGAATATATGAATCCAAGGTAGAAGAAGTCACTCTAACAATAAAACCAAATAATATACTAGGGAAATTTATGCTTCCTACTAATGGGAGCTTTGATTTAATGGTAAGCAAATCAGCCTTAGTGATGGGAAGTTCAAGTAGCTGATTTTTTGCAGAGACATCAACTCTGCTGCTATGCTTTAATGCCACTTAAGCAGTTCTAGAACAGCTGGGGAAAGAGGCTGAGTGACAACCACAGGGGCAGGTCATCTTACTCATGTACAGTGAGTAACCTCAATTAAGCTCTTATATGGGCACGAATACTGTCATTCTCTCTGTTTTTCTGAGAAGTCCAGCTACCTACCTCTCCCTAGAACTCCATGCCAGTAATTGTATAAGCTCATTCTTTCTTAGTCCCTGAACAAACCAAACAATTAAGCCTGCCACAAATTAGTAAGATTTGTACCACAGCTATCCTTTCCTTCCAAGGGAAGCATACAACTAAAGGTATTCCCTGAAGTTCTTTCCATTAGAAGGCTTAAATATTAATTATTTATTGTGTATATATATGTATATATCTCAAAATATCAAGTCCAAGCTGCGGCTTCAGCTGCGCCTGCAGTAAGCCCTTCCATTCCTCTGTTAGACCAGCAGATTCTGGTTGGTACAGCTTGATACGACCAATAGATCCAGTGTTCATGTGCCAACACCTCCTTTTCTTTAACGTGGATCCATGGTATGATGTGATATTTTGTGTTATCATGTGTGTCTGCATTTCACTTGAACTATAATCCTTGGAGGAAATGGTTGGTCCAGAATTATAAAAAACATTGTGTTGTGATTATCCAATTGATGCTTGCTATAAACTTCACAGCTTTTCTTTTTTCACTACCAATTTTTCTAACACTACAGGGTATGCCAAGTAGGATGGTCCAGGTACAAGGGTTATTTGCATCAAATCTGGAAATGCTGGAAAATAAAACCTTTTCCAGATCTGTACCCTGCTCAAGCTGAGAACCTTTCACATCTTTTAGTACATGAGTTTGAGTGCTATTCCCGTTACAGAGTATGTTTCCTCCAGAAACAGGAGAAATCTACCAGACATTGTGCTTCCTTATTAGGTGGAAGGTACAAAGTTCAGTAATTTTCCTTTACTTTAAGAGGATACCCTCTTAAAGTAAATGGTCTGGACATTCCCCAGACCATTGAACTCCCTACAGTTTTTTTCAAACTTTATTCAGGATAATTGACAAACAAAATTTTATATATTTGAAGTTTACAATGCAGTGACCTAATATACACATATACTGTGTAATGATTGCCAAGATCAAGAAAATTAACACATCCGTAACCTCATATAGTAAACTCTTGGGGCTGTGTGTCTCTGTGTCTGTGTCTGTCTGTCTGTGATAAAAATTTTTTAGATTTACTCTTAGCAACCTTCAAGTACACAATACCATATTATTAACTATAGTCACCACATCGTACATTAGATCCTCTGAACTTATCTTCCTACAACTGAAAGTTTGTACGCTTTGACCTACATCTCCCCATTTCTACCTCCCCTAAAGCCCTGGCTACCACCATTCTATTATCTGCATCTATAACATCAGCTTCTTTTTTTTTAAATTACTCCACATATAAGTGATACTGTACATTATTTGTCTTTTTCTACCTATGTCAGTTAGCATAATGGCCTCCAGGTTTATCATGTTATCACAAATGGCAGGATTTGCCTTTTATGGCTGAATATTCCAGTTCATATATATACCACATTTTTTTACTCATTCATCCATTGAAAGAAATTTACATTGTTTCCATATCTTAGCTACTGTGAATAATGCTGCAGTGAAGATGAGTGTACAGATACCTCTTCAAGATCCTGATTTCATTTCCTTTCAATATATACCCAGAAGTAGAATTGCTAGATCATATTGTAGTTCTGTATTCAATTTTTTGAGGAACAACCATATTGTTCTTTGCAAGCTTCATAATGTTTACTGTAAATTAGCAGCTGTACCAATTTGCATTTCAACCAACAGTACAAAAGGGTTCCTTTTCCTCCACATCCTTGCTAACATTCATTTCTTGTCTTTTTTAGAATAGACATCTGTGTGTTATATGCAACTGATGAATCACTAAATTCTACTCCTAAAATTACTAAAACTATATGTTAACTCAATTAAATTTAAATAAAAAATTTAAAAAAAAAAAAGAATAGCCATCCTAACAGGTGTGAGGTGAATCTCATTGTGGTTTTGATTTGCATTTCCCTGATGATTAGTGATGGTGAGCAACTTTTCATGGGTCTGTTGTCCGTTTGTATGTCTTCTTTGGGAAAATGTCTATTCGGGTCTTTTATCCTTTTTTAATTGGATTAATTGCTTTTTACTATGAGTTATATGACTTTCTTATTATTTTGTATAATAACCCCTTATCAGATATAGAATTTGCATGTATTTTCTCCCATTGTGTAAGTTGGCTTTTCAATTTATTGATTCTTTTCCTTTTGTATAGAAGTTCTTCAGATTGATACCTCCCCAACTGTCGATTTTAGCTTTTGTTGCCTGTCCATTTAGTGTCTTATCCAAGAAATCATTCCCAAGACCAATGTCAAGGACCTTTTGCCTGTGTTTTCTCCTATGATTAAGTCTTTGATCCATGTCTCTGAAATCCTAAAATTTTAATGATATGGCAATTTCCGTATTCTTTATGCAATTTATTCACTCCCTTGACAACACATACATATGACCTAAGCATGAATGTACTTGCCATTTCTTCCTTATCTGGTTTGATGGTGTAGTGTCGTTAATATAATAGACAATCTTAAATATATATAACCTATCCAGATGATCCATTTCTCTTCACACTATGACAAAGGGTAGAACAATAAATGGATACTGATGTCCATTCCATATAAATTCTGTTTCTAACTCTACTTTCTGAAAAAGATGGAAAAGAAAATTTACCATATCAGTGACCACATATCATATACCCAAGGCTGTGTTAATCTGCTCTACAGTGCCTAGGTGGCTCAGTCGCTTAAGTGTCTGCCTTCAGCTCAGGTCATGATCCCAGGGTCCTGGGATCAAGTACCTCATCGGGCTCCCTACTCAGTGGGGAATCTGCTTCTCCTCTACTTCTGCTGCTTCCCCTGCTCCCCCTGCTCCCCCTGCTCTTTCCCTCTCTCTCAAATAAATAAATAAAATCTTTAAAAAATAAAAAATCTGCTCTTACAACAATACCACTTTTGGTACAGCAACTGCAATTAAGGCTACTACTGAATTGAGTTTACAATAGTCCATTGTCATTTTCCAAGATCTGCCTGACTTTTGTAGGGGCCACAGTGGTGAATTAAATAGACAGAGGGTGGAGATCCCCTTCCTATATTGTTTGGGTATCATTGCCACCACTATCCCTACAGAATATTATGTACTTTTTAAAATACTGTCTGAGTGTATGGATGTGACAGTCAGTGCCTTCCCCTCTACAGTACCTGAAACCCACAGGGCAAGGAAACAGTGTGGCAGTTGTACCAATGACCAAGTATATCCATTCAAATTATACATCCAGGAAATGGTGTAATGATCACAGGGTGGGAGGGGTGTCATTTGGTGGACCCACTATGCACCAGATCTAGACCGGGACTTTGTATATAGTTAACTCCCACATGCCTCCCTTCAAATAAAGGATCACAACGACCCTTTAGGGATTTGAGTATACCTTTCAACTCAGACTCTGTGCCCAACAGTCCTCAAAATGTTGTGATATTCCTTTATTCCTAGTGTATGATTATGCAAGTTCATGGTCAAAGGTACCTTTGGGGAAAGTACTGAGAGAATCATTGTCCTGTATACTCACTGAGCTGTCACACAGCCCTTCCTCCTGGCATTTTTGTTAAAGTAATCTTGGTGTTGCCATGCCCCCCCAGCCCCTCCCAGAAGGATAGAGTTAGGGGTTATCTAAGTAGGTTACACATAATAGATCCATTCAAACATCTTGAGCCTTTAGGCTCCTTCCTCTACAGTATATCAGGGGAAATCTGGCATTTCAACTTCCCTGATAGTAGTGAGTGCCTTGGACAAAATGCCTGGTTGGTTTTACATACACAATAAATAATTGTAAATTTACTAACCCCATAAATACTGGGTTTTGTTGGTGATGAGGTCACCAGAGGAAGCCCACAAGGTTGTTTTCAAGTAAAACAGTTATTTTGTTATATTTTATTACCAGATACATTACAGTGCAGAAGTTAAGATTACAGATCCTGCATCAAAACCACAAGGCTTTGTGTCCAGTCTGATTACTTAATACAGCTTAGAATATTTAACATCTTCGTGCCTCAGACCCCTGCTGTGTAAAATGGGGATGGTGAGAGTATCTACTCAATAAGATTCAAAGTAAAGCCCTGAGAACAATACCTAGATTGTAAAAAGCACCATATGAGTCACCTCACTTATTACCTCCCCTAGAACACAAATGATGACAGACGATCATTATTTCATTGCCTCATGAAGGAAACTTCAATTAGTGCATGCATTCCATTCCATTGTCTAGTAATTTTGTTAAATAACAAGCTGCACAATGTATGGAAAAAACCCTTCACACATATTCTTTAAACATTTCATTTTAAAATTTGCTGAAATATTTTAATTTCTCTTTCTGGAAGAGATACAATGATCTTAGTGTCACTTAAGCAGAGTACAAAGTTAATTAATGACATTCTTTCCCACAAAAGAAATAACATCATTAATTGTAAGTATTTGGGGGGACTTCAGGCCTACAAAATAGAATTTAATCAAAAATCTCACACAGACCTGTACCTCTGAAACAAATAATCCATTATACGTTTAAAAGAAGAAGAAGAAGAAGATAGTAGGAAGGGAAAAATGAAGGGGGGAAAATCGGAGGGGGGAGACGAACCATGAGAGACTATGGACTCTGAGAAACAAACTGAGGGTTCTAACGAGGGGAGGGGGATGGGGGGATGGGTTAGTCTGGTGATGGGTGCTAAAGAGGGCACATATTGAATGGAGCACTGAGTGTTATACGCAAAAAATGAATCATGGAACACTACATCAAAAACTAGTGATGTAATGTATGGTGATTAACATAACACAATAAAATAAAATTTAAAAATCTCTGATACAACTGTAGACAAAAGAATCCTGCTTAATAATGAATTCTAAACATGTTTTTTATAATTAATGCATTGTCTTAAGACTCAGCTTTGGTAGGACCTGAACAAGGAAATGTATGGTCATGGTAGAAACTAAGAAAAGATTTAGAAACAATAAGGAAGTGCTAAATGTAATGACAATTTACCAGAAAGAAGGAATACACATAAGACATGTAGAGCTCTTTGTACAAACAGACCCATAAGAAAAGCTGAAAGACTAGCATATGCACAGAAATTCAAATACAAAATCATTTGAACGTGAAGGGGGACTAACCTGGCAACCAGGAACATGGTTTCTGGTGCCTGGATCTCTGGTGATTTCTGGCTGTGTGCCTTAGGCTAATTGATGTCACCCCTCAATTCTTGGGTTATAGCTAGTGCAAAAGAAGGAGTTAGAACAAAAGATATTGACAATTCATTCTACCTTTAACTTTCAAAAATCTAACATAGGGTTAACAATTTCCAGAGTGCCTGATAAGGATGCAAAGGATGCAGAAAATGGAGAAATAAGAAGCAAACAGAATAGCAACAAAGAGAATTGAAATCAAGATATAAACTTGAGGGGCATCTGGGTGGCTCAGTTGGTTGGGTGACTGCCTTCGGCTCAGGTCATGATCCTGGAGTCCTGGGATCGAGTCCCGCATCTGGCTCCCTGCTCGGCAGGGAGTCTGCTTCTCCCTCTGACCCTCCCCCCTCTCATGCTTTCTCTCTCTCATTCTCTCTCTCAAATAAATAAATAAAATCTTTAAAAAAAAAAAAGATATAAACTTGAATAGTAAGTAGATGGAGGATGATGTAAATGCGTAATTTCTCTATCAATAGAATAATCTGTCCAATGTAGGAAAAACATAAAACCTTTTTATTTACTCAATTACATGATAGCATTCTCCTAACCATGTAGGTTACAAAACATGTATTATTCACTTTTTAGCACTTTGATGTACAGAGTATCAAAAAAAAACATGACTTCTAACTTAATGGTGAAATAGATATCATAATATCATAGATAGTAGATTTCTAGGCGTATAACATGTCCTAAGTGTTGGGGATTTTTCTAAAATTGCATAATGTCTTTTCTATAACCAGCATGAGGGAGAATCTGTGATTTCATATCTTACACCATCCGTTCACAAAATCTTCCTGTAATACACAAGACGACTGCACAGTCTCCTCATTGCCACTTTCATCTCTTTGTTCCTGAATGTATAGATGACTGGATTCAGAAAAGGAGTGATAACTGCATCAAAAATAGCAAGATATTTATCCAGGTGTGATGTGGGAGAAGGCCATGTGTAGAAAAACATCAGTGGCCCAAAGAACAAAACCACCACAGTGATATGAGCTAACAGTGAGGAGACAGCCTTGGATGAGCCACCAGAGGAATGCTTCCAAACAGTAAACAAAATGAAGACATATGAAATGACCAGCAGGATAAAGGAGCCCACAGAAATGAGCCCACTATTGACAGTAACCATGAACTCCAGTTCTTGGGTGTTTGTGCAGGCAAGTCTGAGGAGCCGGGGAAGGTCACAATAAAAACTATCCAATACATTAGGGCCACAAAAAGGCAAATCTACCACAAAAACTAATTGAACCAATGAATGGATGAGCCCAATGACCCAAGAAGTGACTAAAAAGTATAGACATATCTTTGGGCTCATGATGCTCAAGTAGTGCAGAGGCTTACATATGGCCACATATCTGTCAAAGGCCATGGCAATGAGCAGCACCATCTCAGTGCCCCCAACAGCATGGCTAAAGAAGATCTGCGTAATACATCCACAAAAAGAGATGGCCTTGTGCTTCTTAAAAATATCACAAATCATTTTAGAGGCTGTGATTGAGCAAAACAACATATCAATGACGGAGAGGTTTGCCAGGAGGAAATACATAGGCGAATGTAGATGAGCATCCAAGGTTACAGTGAACACAATGACAAGGTTTCCCATCATGCTTGCCAAGTAGAACAAAAAGGAGAAAACAAAAAGGAGAAGTTGGATCTCCCATGAATTCGTGAGTCCCAGGAACACAAACTCTGATACTATCGACTGGTTCATTCCGTCTATTGCTTCAGACACCAGGATCGGTTTTCATGTTTCCCTAAAGGAAGAAAGAAAATGAAAAATGATTTCCTAGGCAAGTATTGGTGTTCACAAAAGGAAGCCTCCAGCCCATGAAAACAGTCATCATATTAACAACTCCCACAGCCAAATAATCTTCATCACATGCACATTGGACTTCTACTTAGAGGAGCCAGCTGGTTCCCAATGCCAGTATGAATTCAAAACTGCTACAACTAAATAAATTCCATCTCTGGACCTGTTTCCCTTCTGCTTTCTTCTACTATCACATGGCTATTTCTTATTTTCTCCTGCCCTCCATTCTACTTCAGTAACATACAAGGTCAACCTCAAATACTTTTGACTAGGACTTCTTATGAATGGATAGGATTTCAGCCACTCATATGAGTCACCTAACAATTCCTCATACATAGCATACAGTTTTCAAAGTCTCTGTTCTGTTATTCCTATTGCTTGATTAGACTTTAAACGTTTTCCTTCTTTCAGCTTTCAAAATTTCTCATTCTATTCTTTACTGTCCCAATTTCAATGTCCCAGTTCAAATGCTCCCTCCCTTGTGAAACCTTCCAGATCTGCCTCAGTCTCTCTACTCTCTCTGCACTGTTATCATTGATTTCACTCTGCCTCTCCCAATTATATAAATTTCCATTTCTCAAATTAACGTGTAGTTTCTTGGGTACAGGAATCATCTTAGTTCATATGCGTATTCCCCACCTCCATCACAATCACCTGTGGTGACTAACACAACCACTTATTTAATGAGTGCTTCACACTGGTTGAATGAAGAAATTAAGGTACTTAAGGTACTTAAGAAATTAAAGGTACTTAAGAATGACTCCTGCAGGGCGTCTGGGTGGCTCAGTTGGTTGAGCGACTGCCTTCGGCTCAGGTCATGATCCTGGAGTCCCTGGATCGAGTCCCGCATCAGGCTCCCTGCTCAGCAGGGAGTCTGCTTCTCTCTCTGACCCTCCCCCATCTCATGTGCTCTCTCTCTCTCTCTGTCATTCTCTCTCTCAAATAAATAAATAAAATCTTTAAAAAAAAAAGATTAAAAAAAAAAAAAAAGAATGACTTCTGCAGTCATGAGAGTTTATCATAATCCACCAAAGTTCACATTAATCATATATTTTGTGGTATCAGTCAGGAGTTATCATAGGATCCCAGGCCTCATCATGCAATTGTTTAACTACACAACATAATTATTTCACAAGAGAACTCTGTCATCAAATGAAATATAGGGTCTCAACTATTAATTTAAAATAGCAAATAGAGGGCACCTGGGTGGCTCAGTTGGTTAAGCCACTGCCTTCGGCTCAGGTCATGATCCTGGAGTCCCTGGATCGAGTCCCGCATCGGGCTCCCTGCTCGCCGGGGAGTCTGCTTCTCCCTCTGACCCTCCCCCCCCCCCATGTGCTTTCTCTCTCTCATTCTCTCTCTCTCAAATAAATAAATAAAAAATCTTTAAAAAATAAATAAATAAATAAATAAAATAAAATAGCAAATAGAAAGCCTTGTATATGTTTCAAATGGAAAAAAAATATTTTATCTTTTAATTATGCTTACTTTCCAAAAAATTCACAATTTCTAACATAACACATGTGTTGACCTGAGGCAAATAATCTCCTCCACTAGTAGACAGACAAAGACAGAGATGGAGAGTCATTGGAGCCCCAAAGATAAGAACTCTCCCACATAACAGTCTTTTTTCTTTCTCAAAATACATTTGGAATGGATAAAAGAGTAACAGGAAAATAAAACTGGTGAAAACAGCCAGACAATATCTGTGTCTGCAATTGAGAGAGGGTCACAATTGAGTTACAAGGATAATGGGCACAAAAAGAACTAAGGGACAGTAGCCAAACTGCAGCATGGGTAACTAGGACACAATTACAGTTCTTTAAGGATAAAAAAAAAAAAACCTACCAGAAATAAATCATCAGAGGTCCACTGCTCAGTAGCTGTTTCTGATTTAGTACAACTCCATGACTCCATGTTATACCAATGAAATAATTTATATAGAAAGAGATATATGAGGTGACCTGCTCATTATCACAAAGTCAATTGGTAGGAGGGTTTATAGAGGATCAAGAACCCATGGCTCCCACTGAATGTTCTTTGCCCTAAATAGAACTTCATATTAGTTCTATTTGTATTCATTCTTTATTTCTGCAGTAACAAATTACTGGGAATTTAGTGGCCTACCAAAACACAAATGTGTGATCTCACAGTTCTGAAAATGAGAAGCCCAAAATGGGTCTTCCAAGCTAGAATCGAGGTGTCAGCAGAGCTGCATTCCTTCTAGAGGACCTAGGAGACTATCCACTACCTTCCTCTTCCAAGGTTGCCTGCATTCTTTACTTCATGACCCCTTCCTCCCTCTTCAAAGTACATCACTCCAAACTCTGCCAACTGTCATCACATCTCCTCTCTGATTCCGACCATTCTGCCTTCCACTTGTAAGGTAGGATTCTTATGATTACATTATGCAGATAATCCAGGATAATTTGCCCATCTCAAAATTCTTAATCACATTGACAAAGTCCCTTGTGCCATGTAAAGTAATATATTCACAGGCTCGGGGATTAACAAATGGATATTTTGGGGCCATTATTCTGTACACCACAACTTCTCACAAGTGAACAGAGTTTTAGGGGGAAAAAGAAAACTTTATCACTAACAATGAATCTGACAAAGGAACTTTCAGAGAGCTCTCAGGAAAACGGAAGAGATATTGAAGGAGGAAGGACAGGTAGTGCATCGGGACCTTCTCCCTGAAACTACACATAAGACGCTTCTGACTCCTATTATATCTAGGACCAAGTCTGACCAACTAATATTCACCAATGATGAGGAACTTATCTTTGGATTATCTAAGATAATCAGCCAATCAATATGTTCTTGGACAACTAGGTATATCATTTTATCCTGAGTGCTTCTCTGAATGATTTTGATATGACTTTTGTTCATTAATTCAGCAAATATTTTTGAGTGCCCAGAATGCCAACTACCATTCCGGGCACTGAGAATACAGCATGGACAAGAATTCCTGCCTTTGTGAAGTCCATATTCATGACAGAAAATGCAGTTCTGGTCTGTTATATACAGATTTCCTTCCCTAGAAAGGATAAGAACACTTGAAGAAATGCTGTAATTCATCAAATACAGAGTCACAAACACTCTGCTTCTTTCCAGTTCAATTTCCACATTCACAGAGTCTCCTCTCAGTATTCTGACTTATTTTTTATCTGAATTTTTACATCTATGATTTCTGTCACAGTAATTTTTCAATGGCTTTCTGATAAATATGCATGGGTTTTATCTCCCTAAATATGGTACAAGACACTTGGGGTGAATTGTGTACCATAGTTGTTCATTCTGACTGAAAAGCAGCTCAGAAATGATGCTGGCTGGATTTCTTGGCTAATTCACTCATTCATTCAACAAGTACTTAGGTAGCAGTTAGCAGGACAATTTTAAGTGAAAGTTGTTTAAGCTGTTTTATGACCTAAAACCAAACCTCCATATCATGAAGTATGAACTAACTAATCAAAATTTTTCTAGGAATGGGCAGAAAAATAAGGCAAAAAGCATTCCTTCTGATCGCTAAAGGGAAAAGTGTGTTAGCCAAAACTCTTCCAAGGCTTCCATGAAGTAGGAATAACAGTGAGAATATACTATGACCTGTAAATATAAGTGGTGCTTCCTCCAAATTAAAATGTGAAGAGCAAAAACAAAAACAAAAACAAAACAAAAAAGTGATGGGGCCACTGGTCGACTCAGTCGGTTAAGCATCCAACTCTTGATTTCAGCTCAGGTCATGATCTCAGGGTCTTGAGATCAAGCCCCACGTCAGACTCCACATGAGCATGGAGCCTGCTTAAGATTCTCTCTCTCCCTTTCCCTCTGTTCCTCCCCCCACCTCACTTGCTCACACACTCTTTCTCTCTTAAAAAAAGAAAAGAAAATAACAAGTGAGAAGATAAAAGAAATACTGATAAACCTGACTGTTAATAATTTTGTAAGGAATAGGATTAACATAATCAATAAAGGATTTACTGAGTCAATCAGAAAAAAAAAAAATATATATATATATATATATATATTTCTGTGTAAAACTTCCATAAAACTAGAATCTAGCCAGAGGGTAAAAAGGACAATTTTGGAGAAAAAGAAAATTAAATACATTTTTAAAATCAGAAAGGAAATTGATGGAAAGATGACGAAAAGGAAGACAACAGGAAATTGGGTTTTTGAATGCTGCAGGAGTCCAAGATGGTCAGTTAGAGGGAAAATTGTGGCAAACAGTAAGAAATGGCAGACTGGAAGCTCATTCAGATGTGCAGTCTCAAAAGTCCAGCAGCTCAGAATTGCTTCTTACTAGCATTAGAGTTGCTTTCTTTTTGACTAACACTGCATTCCCTAACTTTTGACTAACATACTGCATCCCCTAGTTTTACTTACATTGCTTAAGGGAAAGGTGCCATATTATGCTACTATAGACAAACAAATAAGTTACCAGATGGCTCTCCTTCGCTGAGATCTTATGTGGCAAGAAATGATGATTTCCACAATGAAGAAATAACTGATTCATTTTAAACCAGACTCATTACCCAAGAAGGATGAGCTTGGATTGGTTGCTGCAGAAGACAGAGCAAGAACAGGTGAGCTCAGGAGGGGAGAGCCAGACTCCAGGAATGAGAGCTAAATCTGAGAAGGATAAATGGGCCAAGGACAAAAGGTACCTACTTTACATCCCTAAAAGAACAAAAAAGCCAAATAATACAACTCACAAATGGGAGATCTGGAAACTTACCCAGGTCCTGTCTTCAACTATTCAACAGCTTCTAGAAAGAGACACTAGGTTCTGGGTGCTCAGGCACCTTGGGACATTGCAGACTTCCATGGAAACAGCACTGCTCCTTTAAGGCCATTGCCATTAGAAGATATTCCACTCACTTCTCTAGTTCTAGTCTAGCTATTACAATCAAGAATTATGACACGAATTACAGCCGTTCTTTATTTAGACCATGTAAATGATCATGGTATGCAGAAAACCCATATTCTGCAGCATTTAATGGAATCATCATTTATTTTTAATTTTTTTTTTAATTCAAGTTAGTTAGCATATAGTGTATTATTTGTTTCAGGAGTAGAATTTAGCGATTCATCAGTTCCATGTAACACCCAGTGCTCATTCCATCAAGTGCCCTCCTTATGGAATTATCATTTAAATGTCTTTATTTAGGGTCACCTGGGTGTCTCAGTTGGTTAAGCCCCTTCCTTTGGCTCAGGTCATGATCCTGGAGTCCAGGGACCGAGCCCCATGTCCATCGGGCTACCTGCTCAGCAGAGAGCCTGCTTCTCCTTCTCCCTCTGCCCTTCCCCCTTGCTCATGCACTCACTCTCTCTCCGTCTCTCTCTCTCAAATAAAGAAATAAAAATCTTTAATAAATAAATAAATAAGTGTTTGATTTAAATGGAATCAGAATTGGGGAACCCCTTAGAATAGATACATGGGAATTTTACATTTTAAAATGTTCTGAAAAAAAAGAAAGATGTTCATTATCCCCAATTAATAAAATCACTCAGTTGGAAGAGATATTGTTCTGACACAGTTCCTTTCTTTTGTTTCTCCATCCTGGACATGTCAGTTCCTCTACAGTTTACACGGTTTGAAACTGCATTTTCTTCCTTGGCGTCCCGCTTTTTATTAACATAACAGTCCAAAAGGTTCATCCTTACGAAAAGAAAATCTCTCATTCTTTCAAGTAAGCTGATGGCCACTTGATTCTTTCTCTGTGAACATAAAGACATTGTCAGCAACTCCCTCAGATAAATGTTTGATATCCTTGAACTTGGTAAAAGCAAATAACGATCACTTGTCTGTGCCCTCTAGTTTTAACCACCTCGATTCCTTTAGTCCTCCTTCATAGGATTATCTTCTATGCCTTCATCTTTGGCACTCGGCCTAACCACCCCCATTTCACCACCAAACATCTCACTGCAGTGACCTAGAAAAAATTCTAGCGAACATTTAAAGAACACAAAATCAGGAGGATTGATTACTGGTTGTGGAACATTACATATTTAGTTCCCTACTTTTTTCTCCATTCTTCCACCACCTAATTTTAACCTACACTACATTAGTTTACGTTAGGGTGAGTTAGTTCCCTAGATATTTTTCTTCTAAGCAGGTTTTAATTACACTTTCTCCATCGTGATCTATGAAATTGGAGTTTTATTTTTTTAATTCCACTTATCACATATACCTAATGAACTTTCTCTTTATTTCTTCGTTCCCTAAAGACAGAGGTAAAGTAAGCTTGTTATGATGGCACACATATTTGTATTTAATTTTAGTGCTAATAACTTCCCTAAAGATCCCTTGGTACAGTTAACAACCTAGCCTGCATCCTGGTCCTGACCACAGTGTGGACTCCAGACTCTGCAGTGTATCTTCAGTTGCATCTTTGGATCTCCAAGTCATTTCCAAGTCCTAGTTAAAACTTAAGGTTAATTCAGTTATTCATGTTGACAACCATTTGTTATTTATTCTCCTGCTCTGCTCATCATCTCCCCATCACCACCTGTTTCTTCCTGCCTCTGGGCCAAAACATAATTGAAAGAGACAAACAGCAAACCATTACATGAGTTTTCCTTGTCATTGAAGTTTATCTAGTTTAATACCTTCGTCTCTTGTCAACTTCACTCCATCCTTCCCTTGGAGCTATTCACAGACTATTATCTTGAACCCACAGAGGTATATAAAATGTTTCTAAAAATGGAAAATATAGCTAAATAACTGAACTGGATGACCAACTAATGCTGTTGTGAACTGGGGTTGCAAAACTGAAGTCATTTAATCAAGAAAATTGTCTCCTAAAAATATATTCACTTTGATTGAAGCAACAAAGGGAAGTATTGATAATGAGTCACAGGGGGAAGGAATGACACTAGAGTTTTTAAGAAAATTAATCTCAAAATTTTTTGCCACTTTAAATCCTATCATGAATAATAAAAACATCCCTGGATAATTTGGTAATACTCACTTTCCAAGAGATTTTTACAAATTATATGGAACAGCCTTATAAATATCGATTTTTCTCTAAATGTAAGTGAACTAGGCAAGTGAAAGAATGAGATAAAAAAACTTTTGGTAAAAAAGAGCATACAAAAAAAAAAGAGCATACAATATGACTCTTATAAATAATAAATTTACTGCATTGTAATAACCACTTTGAAGATACAGCTCTGTCTCACTCATATTTGCTTCTTCCAAAACAGCTTGTACACTGTCTTGCAATCAAGGGGGCAATCAGTGTGTTTGTTGAACTTCACCAAAAAATCCAGTCACTGAAATAATTCCATTGTCCCTTACTGTGCTTGTTATTTGAAATCATATTCCTATAATATGAATTAGAAACTTCACTTCAAAATATTAAGAGAAAGTAACAAGACTTGTGTCTATCTTTTTTAGCCTCAAGTGCAAGAGATTGAGGTAATCATATCCCTCATTTCATGGTACATTATCAGCATTGATTTACGGAGGGTCCCTCTCTTATTTTACTTACTTATTCCCATTAATATCCATTCTCTCTTTCTAATTCCTTTTCCTCAGAGGCAACCATTCTAGTATATTTTAAATGTAGCATGGTATTGATGTGGGAAACAAAAGCAAAAGAAATGCAGCTTAAACTAAAATCTCCTTGCAGGGTCACCTGTGTGTTTCAGTTGGTTAAGTGCCTGCCTTCGGCTCAGGTCGTGATCTCAGGGTCCTGGGATCGAGCCCCGCATCGGGCTTCCTGCTCAGTGGGAACCCTGCTTCTCCCTCTCCCTCTGCCACTCCCCTTGCTTGTACTTTCTTTCGCTCTCTCTCTCTCCCTCTCACTGTCAAATAAATAAAATCTTTTTTAAAAATAAAATAAATAAAATCTTACAGCTTGTAGCCCATTGATAGATACCTGAAGCAGGCAGAGCGTGACCTTTCTCAAGGAACTCGTGGCTGCCTTAATGTCTTAATGTTTAAAAGTAACCTTATCTTGGCAGAAGCTGGCCCCTCAAGGTCCTGAAAGCCTTGCTTCCAGATTCCTTGGAGACTGGTGCTATCCCTAACCCCCACTAATTAAAAAGTATACAATCAGTCACTCCTCACAGTCTCAGTACAGCTCTTTCTGCCCACAGGTCCTGTCCCATGAGTAGGGAAGAAGCTAAGGTATAGGCAGGAGAGATAGGAGGCTCCTGACTCCCCTGACTAGGCTCTGAAACTATTCCTGGCAGGTGGAGACTGAAACAGAGCAGAATAAGAGATAAGGGAACAAACCAAGACAGCACAAATATCTCAAGGCCACAAGCTTCCCAGTCAGTTCTCAATAAAAGGCTGGCACTTGGGCGCCTGGGTGGCTCAGTTGGTTGAGCGACTGCTTTAGGCTCAGGTCATGATCCTGGAGTCCCAGAATCGAGTCCCGCATCGGGCTCCCTGCTCAGCGGGGAGTCTGCTTCTCCCTCTGACCCTCCCCGCTCTCATGTGCTCTCTCTCTCTCAAATAAATGAATAAAATCTTCAAAAAAAAAAAAAAAAAAAGGCCGGCTCTAAAAGCCCTCAGTGGCAAGCCATTTGAGATCCCTCTCACTCCAGAGAGCTTTTTCTTTCCTTCCTGTTCTCACCCTCACTTAATAAACTTCACTCCACTTCACCTTTTTGTGTCCATGAGATTCATTCTTCAACTCGGTGAGACAAGAATCCTGCAATCCTACGACGGTATTCCATTTGCTATCATAAAACATGCAGAATGTTTTCTATGCACATACATATAAAATATTGTTGTATGTACCATTCTAAATATTTTATTTCACTTAGCCCAAGTTGCTATGTGGACATCAGGTCTATTATTCCCAGATATCACATAGTAATCTATGGTGGGTATGCACAACTTTTTGACTGTCTGATCACTAATACCTAATGGCAGACACCCGAGTTACCTCAGGGCTACTGCATATGATTATACAAGTATTGGGGTCACCTGCCACAACTTCTCCAACACCCATTTTCCAATAATGTTTATTTCAGCTGAAACACAGCTGTGTGATGAACATATTTGTTAAAATTCTAAAATATATGCACACTGGTTAGAATACAGCCACTGCCATATTTCCACTGGGGCTCTACCTGGCACTCAAGTTCTTTCTCCAGAATTCTTATGAATCAGATGTGAAAAGGGAATGCCTAGAATATCAGGGGTCTCCAGGATCTGGCTACTTTTGGAAACACTGGTGAAATCTGAACACAGTCTAGCATTGAGTTAATAGGAATGTACCAGTGTTGATCTCTCAGTGTACCACAAATGGACCGCAGAGATATAAGATGATAACATTAGAAGAAACAGTTGAAACTGAAGCTGGTCGAGGGCTGTATAGGAACTCCCTGGAATACCTTGGCAACTTCTTGGTAACACTAAAACTGTCCAGAATGAAAGCTCTATTTAAATGAAACAAGAAATCAGAAAAGAAATTTAAAAATAGGGCCGAATAGATTTATTAAGTGAAAATCATTCATGAACATTTGTTGAAGCTCTGCAATTTGGCGAACAGACATTCAGGAGACAAGGTGAATAATATACTGGTACCTGTCAGTGACAACTTAACAGCCCAATGGATACATGACACTTAACCACTGAGGAAATAAGATCTAAAGTGACAGAAGGCAGCAAAGGACCAGGAGCCTGGCAACCTAGACTCTGGATTTAAATCTTCCATATATTCCCTTTAGGATCTTGAGCAAATTAACTACTTTTCCAGTACCTGAAACTTTTTAAAATAGGAAAACTCTATGAGATGATTTACCTTAAAGTTAAAAAACCATGAGACCCCCCCCAACTGAATTTTAATAATTATCTAAGTAACTGTGTGGGCTCTATGAACTATTATCTTTCAGCTCTAAGCTATCCTTCTATACTCTGTCAAGAAGCAGGAGCTGACGCTCTGCAAACTCATTTCTTTTTGGCCAGCTCTGCCATTAGGGGGGGGCACTAGAGGGAGACTGCACGGCTGGAAGAGGAAGAAGGGACTTTCTTGCTGCCTGTGGGCTTCCTTTCTGCTCACCATGCCTGTGAGCATCACCCAACCACACTGTTCACCTCAGCAACCTTGGTTTCTTTCCTAGGCAGCAGCTGCGTTCCAACCTTAGAGGAGGTCACCTCATCACACCCTCCTCAGGAATACCTGTGTTAGCCTGCAGTACGCTTGCGACAGGGGTGGTGTCCCCGCCCTCCTCTAAGCTGAGAGATCTTAGCACCAGCCAAGCAGCAGTCCCTCCTCAGATATGTGAATTTCAACTCCACAGGTCCTTCCTCCAAGATTTTAGTAGCTTTTTATTTTTAAGTTTTAGTAATTCTAACTTCTTCCCTTCATTTTCCATCCCAAGGAGTGAGAGCTGCTTCCTACAAATACTATGTATGTATGTGATATCTCACATACATAGGATGTATATCTCATCCTTTTTCAAAATCTAGTTAACAGCTTTTACTTAGCAAACCATTCTTTACACCAAACTTTTCCTTTCAAATTAACTGGTTGATTACTCCTTAACTGGACCCTGAAAAACCAGATTAGCAAATAGAACAATGAGGGAAGCTAAGAGATAATGAGCTGCAAAGATAGAAAACAAATCAGCTATATAGTAAGACAAATCAGATGAAGTAAAAATTAATACTTATCTTTAAAGTAAGAGAGTCTCTTTAACATGGAGAAAATAGAAAATAAACAGTGAGCCACATATTGCCTTTCAAAAGGGATTGTTTCACATTTATACTAATTCTATTTGGCACCATATCGAGGTAAGACCACTGGTGAGATAAGAAAACCACGACCAGGGCGCCTGGGTGACTCAGTTGGTTAAGTGTGTGGCTTCGGCTCAGGTCATGACTTTGGGGTCCTGGATCCAGCCCTGCATCTGGCTCCCTGCTCAGTTGGGAGTCTGCTTCTGCCTCTCCCTTTGTCCCTCCCCCCACTTGTGCTCTCTCTCGCTCTCTCTCATAAATAAATAAATAAATAAATAAATAAACAAACAAACAAATGCAAAAAAAAAAAAAAAAAACATGATCTGTAAGTCTCTCACATAAGCAAAGCCCAAATCCTCTGCATATTTAAGAGACATTACTCTAATTCACAAACTGAGAACATAGTCTCCTCATTGCCACCTTCATCTCCTTATTTCTAAAAGTGTAGATCACTGGATTCAGAAAAGGAGTGATAACTGCATCAAAGATGGCAAGGAACTTATCCAGATGTGATGTGGGAAATGGCCACACGTAGAAGAAGATTAATGGCCCAAAGAACAAAACAACCACAGTGACATGAGCTGACAGAGTGGAGAGGGCCTTGGACATACTCCCCAAAGATTTTTTCTGAACAGTCACCAAAATAAAGGTGTAAGAGATGATTAGAATTAAAAAGGAGGCCACAGAAATAAAGCCACTATTGGCAGTAACCATGAATCCCAATTTGTTTGTCTCTGTGCAAGCAAGTCTGATAAACCGAGGAAGGTCACAAAAAAAGCTGTCTAATTCATTAGGCCCACAGAAAGGCAAGTCCACAACAAAGGCCAGTTGAGTCACTGAATGAATCAAGCCAATGATCCAGGAAGCAACTAGAAAAAAAATGCACCTCCGTGGGGTCATGATGGTAGTGGAGGGGCTTACATATGGCAACGTATCTGTCAAAGGCCATGGCGATGAGCAGCACCATCTCAGTGCCCCCAACTGCATGGATAAAGAAGATCTGAGCTACACAGCCCCCAAAAGAGATGGTTTTGCACTCTCTTAAAAGATCATAAATCATCTTGGGAGCTGTGGAAGAGCAAAATATCAAGTCGATGATGGAAAGGTTGGCCAGCAGGAAGTACATGGGGGACTGTAAATGAGGGTCAGAGGTCACAGTTAGCACAATGAGGAGGTTTCCCATCAAGCTGGCCACATAGAACACACAGGAAAAGAGGAAGAGAAGGAGCTGGATGTCAGGTGAGGTGGAGAGTCCCAGGAACACAAACTCCAACACCGCTGAGTGATTGCCTTCATCCATGGCCTGTCAGCAGTGACACCGCTCATACCACCTGAAAGAGGAGAGTAAGGAGAAACTGATGTAGGAGAAATGGCACGGATCTTAATCTTGGGCAATTCAATCATTGTCAGAAAACTAGACCAAGGCTGATGCGTGCTCTTGGAGACCATTTCAGTCACAAAGCAATTCAGATATCTTTGTCGTGTTTCATCACCAGAAGGCAAATAAAAGAATAAGGATCCTTTTACTCACTTAGATTGATAGTTCTGTTGTATTTTTCCTGTCATTGTTTCATAGTCATATCTCATAAATGACTATGAATTAAGAGGCTTTCAGAAAGTACCTAACTACATGAAATAATGCAGTGACAGTACATTCCATAATTTGGACATATCACAGTATAGTGTTACCATATCCATGACCACATTGGCAAGTTCTATGAAAATCTTTATAAGCTTTCTTTGAAGACCTGATATGTAAATATCTCATATCTATGAATTAGCAAGACAAGATGAGTTATTTAGAGGAAGGAAGGAAAGAGAGGCGTAGAGGATGCCAGAGCATGGCACTCACCATCCCATAGAAGGAGAATAAGTTCTAGTGAGAGGGACACAGTTATGGGTTCAGTGGAGGGGATTCTGCATAGGGGCAAAGAGAAGAAGGAATGTGAGACCAGAATGACAATGATAAATCATATATGCCAGTAAAAGAGAAAGAGTAAAAGTGAAAATATCGGTCTTTACACTTGGCTCTCTTGATATATATAAAAATACTTAACCGCATTCTGAATTAAGTAAATGTATGCTAAAATAGCAAGACACTAGTTTTTCTTATAACATTGGCAGGGATTTAAAGACTTGATAAAATGCAGGGTTTGAGAGGAAATGGGGAAACAGGTAGTCTCATAACTGGTGGTGGGAGAGTAAACTGATAAAACATTTGCCAAGTTGGTAATACTTTCCAAAATTGTAAATGTTCATATACTTTGACTCAGCGATTCTACTTCTCAGAAAAATATCTGGATATCTGTGTGTGTGCACAGAAACAAAGTGAACAAAGAAGAGATACAGATTGGTAGTTGCCAAAAGGTAGGGGGATTGGAAGGATGGGTGAAATAGGTGAAGGGGGTCAAACGATACAGTTAAAAAATCAGTAAGTCATGAGGATGTAATTAATGCACAGCATGGTGGCTAGAGTCTGTAGGAATGTATTGGCTATTTGTAAGTTCCTAAGAGAGTAAATCTTGAAAGTTCTTATTGTGGTGATCTTTTTGCAGTGTATACAAATATTAAGTCATTATGTTATACACCTGAAATTGATAGAATAGGTCAATAACACCTCAATTTAAAAAAGATACAAAGAGTTGTGCCTTAGTGGCACAGTGGGTTAAGCAGTAGACTCTTGGTTTTGGCTCAGGTCCTGATCTTGGGGTCTCGAGATTGAGCCACAGGTGGGCCACAAGCTCAGCACAGAGTCTGCTTAAGATACTCTCTCCCTCTCAGTCTGCCCCTCCCCACCCTGCACTTGCGCTCTCTCTCTCTAAAATAAATGAATAAATCTTTTAAAAAAGAGAGAGAGAGGGGAGCGCCTGGATGGCTCAGTCGTTGGGCGTCTGCCTTCGGCTCAGGTCATGGTCCCAGGGTCCTGGGATCAAGCCCCGCATCGGACTCACTGCTCGGCGGGAAGCCTGCTTCTCCCTCCCCCACTCCCCCTGCTTGTGTTTCCTCTCTCACTGTGTCTCTCTCTGACAAATAAAAAATCTTAAAAAAAAAAAAAAAAGAGAGAGAGAGAGAGGTACAGAAATGTTTACTGAAGCATTGTTGCTTGTAAAAGCAAAAGCCTGAAAATAATTTCAATGTGTAGAAATAAGAGACTAGTTGAATAATTTCTAGTAGATCCGATCTATGGTATACTACATAGCCATTTATTTTGCTAAAGTTCACCTAAATGTACATAGACAGGATAGACAGGTGGAGAGGGGGCAGTATCTTGCATTCATCTTATCCTATCTGGTTTTTTAATATTTATACAAATAAATTACATATATAAAATTAAATAAATTAAAAAATGGATTAACAATGCCTAGGTTGATATGCAAGAAGAAAAGTTAATAAAAATTACCTCTAAGGACTAGGAAATTATGCAGGAAAAGGGATCTTTTGCTTTTCACTTTATAAGCTCTTCCCACTATCTTACATTCTTGCAGTAAACATAGTATCAATTTCTAATGATGTATTTTATGATGACTAACATATCATAATAAAATTAAATTTAAAAAGAAGATAAAAAAATATCAATTTCACTTTTACAAAATGTCAGGGTATGTGGATCTGAAAAATTATACAATTTGTATCTTTGGGATTTAAATCTTCCAAAGATATCTTCATAATGTATCTTCCAATTTATAGCAAAGATCAGAGCTACACCTAAGATATTCACTAACTTTGTTGCTATACTCCTTCCTCTGCCTCCCACTCTAGCTGAACCACCTCCTGACAGGCACTCAAATGGTATTTACCCCTCCCTCACACACACACTCAAATATTCCAGCCCATGGCTTCCCTTCACGTTCTTCACTCAGCCTGCAATGCCTGGGCTTCATTACATCTCTCCAGTTCTTCCCATTCTTCAACAGCCCACTCTGCAAAACCCCTTCCTCTATAAAGTCCTTTTTGATACTCTTACTTTACACACATGGGGGAAGACAAATGTTGCTTACAATGTGGTGACAAAACCAGAAACCCTAACAATCATACGGTTCTGTTACTGCTCTAACAAAGACCACTATCTAATTCTCCATTGCTATACATAAAGGTTTCTAAATATATGTTTAAAATGTCCTTTTTAGACTTTTTCTTAATGCTGGTGTTTAATGATACCTACCTTAATAAAAAGCAACTCAGCTTGGAAGCAGTTAGATTCCTTTCACAGGGATAATCACCAGGAATCTCCCTACTGATGCAATTCATCCAAGCGAATGATTGATCCTGAGTTACCCTCCTGGAAGCTGCCACTTATTCCAGCAATGCTTCTAAATCCCACTCCATCCCAAACTCTTGGTAGTTTTAACACAAGACCTTATTTTATCTTCCCCCTGAAAATGGATGATACTTTTTAATGCATCAGATTAGCTAAACATTCAAAAAGTAGATAATTCCTAGTGTTAGTAAAAAGATGGAAAACAGGATGGGACACTTGTTGGTGGCCCAGCTTCCTAGCCAGTCTTTCACTTTCTGCCTACTGAAAACTTAAGGTCTCTAGGGGCCTTACTTGGTATCAGTCTCCACTTTTAAACAAGGGCAGAATAGTAGTTTAAATCTGATCTTTTCCATGCAGGCAAGTGAAACTGTCCCCTTAACTCCTTCTGCAAAAAGAAAACAGGATATCAGTTTAGACCAGCAACTAAATTCCAGGGAGCCTTTGTAGTGTCCTGAGTCTCACAACTGTTCATCACACAGCACTGACTGCTGCCCACACCCCCACCACAAGCCCATAATGTAAGAAATGAGAGATTCCTCAGAGATCATCTAGTGACCAGCTGACTCTCTTCTCTTCTCACTTCTGCTCATCCTTGTTCTGGCCAGCACAGATAGCAAACAAATTAGAAATAAGGTGGGTTCACCTCCAATTCAAGCAAGGATGACAATTCTGGAGTATTTTGAAAGTAGATCAATGTGGAGGTCACTCAAAGATTGGTAGTCCTCTACTTCTTAACCTGAGTCAGTCTCAAATTACTCACAAGGTTGAATTTACATTAGAGTTACTGGAAAATCATAAAATTCACAGAGAAACATCTCAATCTCATCATCCTATGCATTTCTCCCCTAGTTTGCTCCTCTGGAGATGTGTAGAGAGAGCTCAGGACAGGATAGTACAAAGATGTACAGAAATGGGCACTTTAGCTGCATGCTGTCAGAGTGGTTGTTTCTACTGCTATCAATGCAGCAAGCCCTGTAGAAAACTGCCATTGCTGGGACCTGAATGAAACTGCTAGTGATTGTAAAATCTGTTTATTTTAAAGTTAGGAAAACCCAGGTGCAGAGAGGATAAATAGCATTACTGAAGTTAAGGAACAAGCCGGTGGCCAATCCACAATCAATATGGTTGACTCTTGGTTTCTGGACAATCCAGCTCATGTCCACTCTACCACACTTCTTTTACTGGGATGGTCCAACCTGGGCCTCCTGAGTGTAGCCCAGGAAATGATAATATATCAAAGCTACTTTCTTCAGCACTGTCCAACATTCTTCTTGCTTTAGTCCCACTGGACTCAGATATTCTGCTCCTACTATATTCTGGAGACCGACACTCAAGACACATCTGCAAATGTCACTAGAATAACTCCTCCAATACAGGTCATAAAGTGGTGATTTGACTCCACTCATCTTGCTGTCTTCTCTGTTTTGGTTGTGTATTTATCTGCTATAATCTCCCTGTTGAATAACAGAATTGATTCATTTCTTCTAGTTAATTAGATCTCCCTTCTCACTGCTCTGTGTGTTTCCACTTGAAGCTCTCATCTGCATCAAAGACTGTGTCCACACCTCTGTAACTCACCTGGACCCATGTCGAAATGACCATGGCCTTAGAGGACAACAGAATGCAGAGCTCTTGCCTTTGAAATGTTCTTATCAGCTGGCATAAAAATCCCTATGTAATGCCTCCAAGCAGGAAACACAGCTAATTAGCAGCACTGGAAAGTTACTTGAGCACTGCTGTAGAGACCTGGGATTGCCACCATGCTACATTTAGCCAAGGGAGTTTTGTCCTAGAACCACAGAAATTTGGCCACAGCCACCAAAGGGAAAAGTTAGTAATAGGTCACTTGAGGGAAGAAGGAAAGGAGACTAGGGATTTTTGTGGAAATTACCTATTTGGTTTTCTTTCTTTTTTTTTTTTTTAAGATTTTATTTATTTATTTGAGAGAGAATGAGAGACAGAGAGCACGAGAGGGAAGAGGGCAGAGGGAGAAGCAGACCCCCCGCTGAGCAGGGAGCCCGATGCGGGACTCGATCCCGGGACTCCAGGATCAGGACCTGAGCCGAAGGCAGTTGCTTAACCAACTGAGCCACCCAGGTGCCCCCTATTTGGTTTTCTGATCCATGAAGGCAGAAACTCCATAAGAATGAAAAATATATACCTTCAAACAAGTGAAAATAATGCTAATCGTCTCCATAGGAAAAAAGAGAGGGAGAGAAGGAGGAAGCAATGCAGGGCTCCAGTGTGGCACTGACCATCACCTGTGTCCCATTAGAAAGGATAACTAGAGGTAATAAGACATGCAGACATTCCATCAAAAGTTAGCTAGTCCTTTATTATGTGTGTGATGTGGAGAGGTGAAGAGGGTGCTATAACAGCAACTCAAGGGGATGAACCCAAAGGGTAGTGGGGCTGGGATGAGGCAAATCACTAACAGTTTAATCTCTCATAGGTCAGCTTCTTAAAAAGAAACATCAACAAAACAGAAAATCTCCTCCAGTTATATTGTATATCTTTATATCAAAAGTATGCAGAGGGTCAGTGATGTGGCCATTGATAAACTATCATTATATAGAGCACTCTGTATCAGTTACCTATTGCTGTATGATAAAGTAGCTTAAAGCAAGGCCATTTTACTTGCTCCTGACTCTGCAGTTAGGGCTGAGCTCAGCTGGGCAGGTCTCATGCTGATCTCACCTGGGTTTTCTCACGAGGCATCAGTTATCTGGCAGTTTGGGATTGGAGGGTTTAAGAGGGCCTCGTTCACATGTCCAGGGCCTTAATGCTGGCTTCGCTGGGCCTCCCTCTCCAAGGGATATTTTATTATTCAGTAGTCTTGCCCAATTTCTTTACAGGGTAGTAGGAACTCTGCAGGACAAGAAAGGCAGAAGGTGCAAAGCAAACGATGCCTCAGTTCTGGAATTCATGCAGTATCATCTTTACCACATTCCATTGGTCAAAGCAAGGCAGGAAACCAGGCCAGATTTCAGGTTGGGAAATAGACTCTACCTCTTGACAAGAGAAGGTGTAAAATATTGTAACCATGTTTTTCAATTAACTAGAGGCTCCATATCTACTCATTGTGAGTTGTGTTGATTGGCTAAGTCTCAGTTAGCCTTAATATAAGGAACTGATATATGTCCTATAGAGTTCTATGGTGCTGTTGCTCCACATTTTACTAACTCAAAGCAGTTAACTCAGCAACTCTCTCCTGTTCCAGTATTTGTCTTCTATTTAACCAGTTTGTAATAATTTTAATTTCTTTTTTTTTTTTAAGATTTTATTTATTTATTTGACAGAGAGAGAGAGAGACAGAGAGAGCAGGAACACAAGCAGGGGGAGTGGAAGAGGGAGAAGCAGGCTTCATGCTGAGCAGGGAGCATGATGTGGGACTCGATCCCAGGACCCTGGGATCATGACCTGAGCTGAAGGCAGACACTTAACGACTGAGCCACCCAGGCGCCCTAATTTTAATTTCTTTTTTTTTTTTAAAGATTTTATTTATTTATTTGACAGAGAGAGAGAGAGACAGAGAGAGCAGGAACACAAGCAGGGGGAGTGGAAGAGGGAGAAGCAGGCTTCATGCTGAGCAGGGAGCCTGATGTGGGACTCGATCCCAGGACCCTGGGATCATGACCTGAGCCGAAGGCAGACGCTTAACGACTGAGCCACCCAGGCGCCCTAATTTTAATTTCTTTTTTTTTTTTAAAGATTTTATTTATTTATTTGACAGAGAAAGACACAGCGAGAGAGGGAACACAAGCAGGGGGAGTGGGAGAGGAGGGAGAAGCAGGCTCCCCGCTGAGCAGGGAGCCCGATGTGGGACTTGATCCCAGGACCCTGGGATCATGATCTGAGCTGAAGGCAGATGCTTAATGACTGAGCCACCCAGGTGCCCCCTTAATTTTAATTTCTTAATGAGTTTACATCCTGATACTATATATGAGACTAGGTTAAGCCACATGACCTTCTAGAGTCTCCTGTGTGCAGGACAGACCAGCCTCCTGTCAAAGAATATTCAAGAACACTGAGGTAGAGACACAGCCATTTTACTTGATTTGAAAGGAGCCTAGAGTTCCTGTGGGATAGAAATATCTCACCATCAAAGTATAAGAAATGGGTGATGAGTTTGAGTTGTCCAAAGGAGGGCAATCGAATGCATTTGAGAGAAAGTCATTATGAAAGCAAAAGATATCTGGCAAAGTAGGCAGGACTAAGCAAGCAAGTCCTGGTGTTAGAGCAGGCAGTAATCCCGGGCACAAAGCGAGCATATGCATGACCACCATCCCACACAGCCTCTCCACCTTTTCCCCACCCCTGTTCCCCCAGATCCCTGCTGTCCCTGTGCTCTCTGGAAATGAATGGGCTGTGATACAAAGAAAAGACCTGTGATACTAGAGCCCAGATCTCTTTTGTGGGAGTCCCTTCACAGAAGAGGCTGTGAGGAGCAACATAAAGCAAGCCAAGGCCAACAATCCAGGGCAGGCCTCCCGAGGTTCAGACTACAGTGTGGGCAACTGGCAACCAGCTGTTTGGGAAAGGTGGGCAATGACCCAAGCAGAGAGCTGTGTGCCAGAGTGACCTCTGTCCCTGAAGCAGAAGAATGCTATGGCATGGCCAACAGAACGCAGAGTCTGTGCTCATAGGAGAATCTTCCCACCAAGTACTCTGGAAAGAACACTTAGGGAGCAGAACCCAGGAAAAGATTTAATTTCTGCTTCAGAAGCAGGTCAGAGAAATGAGACTTGGAATGTCTTGGTAAATATGACACATTTGTACCAGGTGAGGTCCTGCACCTGGTGTTTTGATGGTCTCATTTCTACTTTGTTAACTTGATTGTGTGCCTGTTTATTGACGAGTGTGTGTAGACATAAAATGTTGGATGCCTAGATAAATATTTTACTTAAACCAAACATTGTCTTTTTACCAACCAAAAGATATTCAAGGCCTAGGTTTATGAAATTAATGAATCTCTTCCCCTTCACCTGGAGATAGTCTCTACAATAAATGATGTTGGGAAAACTGGATATCCATGTGCAAGAGAATGAAATTGGACCCTTAGCTTACACCATTTACAAAATCAACTCAAAGTGGATTAAGGACTTTAAACATAAGACCTGAAATTTTTAAACTCCTAGAAAAAAACATAGTGAAGAACTCCTTGACATTGGTCTGGGCGATGATTTTTTGGATTTGACACCAAAAGCACAGCAACAAAAGCAAAAGTAAAAAAGTAGGACTGAATCAAACTCAGAAACTCTGCACAGCAAGGGAAACAATCAATACAATGAAAAGGTAACCTACAGAATGAAAAAAAAAATACAAATTATACATCCAATAGGGGGTTAATATCCACAGTATGCAAAAAACTCATACAACTGCATGGCCAAATAATAATCTGATTAAAATGGGCAAAGGGCCTTAATAGAGATTTCTCCAAAGACATTAAAATGGCCAACAGTTATATGAAAAGATGCTCAAAATCACTAACCATCCAGGAAATGCAAATTAAAATTACAACAAGATATTACCTCACACCTACTAGAACGACTATTACCAAAAAGTCAAAAGATAACAAGTGTTGGGACACCTGGGTGTCTCAGTTGGTTAAGCTGCTGCCTTTGGCTCAGGTCATGATCCCAGGGTCCTGGGTTCGAGTCCCACATCAGGCTCCTTGCTCAGCAGGGAGCCTGCCTCTCACTCTGCCTGCCACTCCCCCTGCTTGTGCTCTTTCTCTCTCTCTGACAAATAAATAAATAAATAAAATCTTTACAAAATATATATATAACAAGTGTTGGCAAAGATGTGAAAAGAAAGGGAGCCCTTGTACACTGTTGATAGGAATATAATACAGTATTAATCACTAGGAAAATAGTATGGAGATCCCTCAAAAAATTGAAAATAGAACTACCATATGATCTAGCAAATCCCACTCCTGGATATATATCCAAATGAAATAAGAATCACTATCTCAAAAAGGTATCTGCACTCCCATGTCCATTTCAACACTATTCACAATAGACAAGAAATGGAAACAACCTAAGTTCATTGACATATGAGTGGTTAAATACACACATACTAAACACACACACACACACACACAGGAATATTATTCAGCCTTTAAAAAGAAGTAAATCCTGCCATTTGTGATAACATAGATGAACCTGGAGGACATTATACTAAGTGAAATAAACCAGACACAGAAAGACAAACACTTCATGATCTCACTTACATACAGAATCTAAGAAAATAAGCAACAGAGTGCCAGAGAATAGAATGGTTGTTACTAGGGACTGGGAGGTGTGCTGAAAGGGATATATTAGTCGAAGAGTACAAGCTTTCAGTTACTAAATGAATAAGTTCCTTAGACCTAATGTACACCATGATGACTACAGTTAATATATTGTATATTTGAAATTTGCTAGGAGAGTAGATTGTAGGTGTCCTCACATAAAAAGGAGGGGTTTAACTATGTAAGGTGATGGATATGTTAATTAACTGATTGGGAGGTAATCACTTCACAATGGGTACATAGATCAAACCATCACATTGTACAATTTAATGTGTACAATTTTTATTTGTCATCATACCTTAATAAAGTTGGGAAAATGAATAAAAATAAATCCCTGTCCACTAACTGTTAAAATATAGACATCTTTTATTTTGATACCTACTAGTGTGTTGCAGAAACCACCTCAAAACAACCTCATACTAGTTAACTAAGAGGAAGCTTTGTGTATGCCAGAAAGAGCTGTACTTGAAGTTTAGTGTTCTTTTTTTTTTCTTTAAGTTCTTGTTCAAGTACTTTGGAGGAGCCTAATGGTATAGAATCAGTAAATAGTTTATCATTTGTTAAGTTATTTTCAGCTTTCAGTAGAACAGTCTTATTAAAATTGGCTCATCCTCTGCCTGGACAACTGCAAAGTGTCTGGCTCTGTGAGAAGGAAGGAACCCCAGGAGGTGTCCACTCAGGCTTCAGTTTTCTCCTCAAATAACATGACTCTGTCATAGACTATCTTGGAGGAGTAGATGGTGCAGTGCCCTCCACTCATGCATAATTTTGTTTGAATATAAGGGAGTTATAAAGTTATTTTATTATATAAATCACCTCTGAGTCTCAGCCCCTTTGAACAGTAAATAGATGGATATTTTTAATGATAGATTTAAAAGACAGGACACAAAAACATATTTTATTGAATTGATGCATGTTTTATATTTATTTTGTTATTAAGTAGAGAGAGAAAAAATATGTTCAGATTTTAGAAGGACAGGTGAGAGACACCCACCAACTTGGAAGTGTGATTAAGAGCAGGGATACTGGAGAAGAAGCTGTGTGGTTTTGCAACCAAGCTTTACCACTTACCACCTCTTTGTCCCTGGGCTAGTTAGTATATCTTTCTGTGCCTCAGTTAAATCATCTATAAAATAAGAATGATAATATTACCTACCTGATTGCTGTATTAAATAAATTAGTGTATGTTAACAACGTAAGAGAGTACCCGCCACATAAATGCTCAATAAATGTTGGTGATGGTGGAGGTGGTAAAAGTAGGACAAAATGATGAATGGGCTTTAAAAAGCCAGTAAGAACATTTTGGATGAGAGAGGAGCTATGAAGTTTCAACCAGGCTTGTAAATGGCACAGTTAAGAGCAAGTAAGGTGATGATAAATCCTGTACTGAATTTTATTTGGAGTGATTGCACATCTAAGTTTCCATATATCAAATAGAAAGTCAAAGAATCACATAATATTTGCAAGGCTGATATCCAAAGGAGCATTCTATGAGGTCACGAGGAGAAAGAGAAGTATAAACAAAACTTATCAAGAGGGAAAAGAAACAATTTCATACATACAACAATCATAAGCCCAAGGCTAATTTTGACAAAAAGAAATATCTCTTACTTGGTTAAGCTAAGGTCTTAACCTGTAATTATCCTAATAAATATATATTTTACAAATAAAGAAGTCCAAAGTAGCATCGGAAGAAAAGTGAAGGTAGAAGAACAAAGTAAATTCCTGAATGAAGTCTGAAACTAATATAACACTCTATGTTAACTAACTGGAATTAAAATAAAACTATTAAAAAATAGGTAAACTGAAAATAAAAGAAGTCTGAGACCTGTTCGTGGTTTAAGACAGATTCAGGGGCACCTGGGTGGCTCACTGATCAAGTCCTGCATCAGGCTCCCTGCTCTGCGGGAAGCCTGCTTCTCCCTCTGCCACTCCCCCTGCTTGTGTTCCCTCTCTTGCTGTGTCTCTCTCTTCAAATAAATAAATAAAATCTTTAAAAAAAAAAAAAAGAAAGGAAGTGGGGGCAATGAGAGATAATACTTTATATTAGTACTTACAAGTGAATACAAAAGAAAAAGGTAAATTTTCTTACATCTAGGAAGAGGAAGTGAATGTTTGAATAACCTTATCTAATTTTTTGATATAAATTTCATGTTCAAGAATGTTTATTTAAAAAATAAGAGAGAATACTTATTCCAAAGAGTTTCTTTTATTAAATCTTTCCCTCTAACCAGCTCTAGAAGCATTAGTATTTTAATTTCACATTTCCTCTAAACCTTTAATAGATAGTTGGAGATGGGAGGAGACCAGAAATGTCTGTGAGATTTAAGAGTATAATTTTAAAGTGGGAAACACTTTGACAGAAAAACATATGTAAAAGAAAAACACAAGAATTTCAATTTTCCCTAGGTAAATCCCTAAATGTAATGTGATCTCAATACAGATATCATCAAGCCTTTTTCACGAGCTAGATAAATTGATTATAAGTTTCGTTTCAAAGATCAAAAAAAAAACAAGAATCATTAAGTAATCTTAAAAGGGAAAATCATGGGGAGGAGGAGGAGGAAAGACTCTCTAACAGATATTAAAATATATTAAAAGCCTCTGTAAATAAAAATTAAAGGAATAGACAGATAGATTAATGGGACCTAATAGAAAATACAGAAACATTCCCAACTGCAATTGGAAATTTAGTATTCACTAAAGATGATCTTTCAAATCAGTGGAAAATATATGGACATTTTAACGAATGACTTGAGGAAACTAGAAAACTACATGTAGAAATGGTTATGTTAGTCCCATTTCTGATGCTATATAGTAAGATAACTTCCAAATGATGCAGAGGTTTAAATATTTTTAAATGAAGACACACAGGTATTAGAAGGAACAAGAGTGAATTTCTCTATAACCTGAGAAAACATTTCTAATTATAACTCAAAATCCAAATGCAGAAAGAAAAGATAGCTAAATTTTACAATATAAAAATAAGAACCTTTGTATTGCCAAAACCACCATAAACAATGGGAAAATATTTGCTACTTAAATGACAAAGTTTACATATATCTAACATACGAAAGTTGTCTGAAATAGTTGACCATGTATGTGTGAGTTTATTTCTGGGCTCTTAATTCTGTTCTTTGATTTGTCTATTTTTGTGCCAGGACCATACTGTTTTGATCACTACAGCTTTGTAGTATATCTTGAAATCTGGGATTGTGATACCTCCAGCTTTGTTCCTTTTTCTCAAGATTGTTTTGGCTATTTGGGTATTTTGTGATTTCATACAAATTTTAGGATTTTTTTTGTTCTATTTCTGTGAAAAATACCATTGATATTTTGATAGAGATTTTCACTGAATCTGTAGATTGTTTTAGGTAGTATGGCCATTTCAACATTAATTCTTCCAATCCATGAGCATGGAGTGTCTTTCCATTTGTTTGTGTCATCTTTGATTTCTTTCATCAATGTCTTACGCTTTCCAGAATACAGGTCTTTCATCTCTTTGGCTAAATTTATTCCTAGGCATTTTCTTTTCTGATGCAATTGTAAATGGGATTTTTTTTCTTAATTTTCCTTTCTACTATTTTGTTAATAGTGCATAGAAATGCAACAGAATTCTGTATATTGATTCTGAAAAAATAAAAAACAAAATACCTGAAATGAAAATTTCACTAAGTAGAATAAACAGCAGATAAAAGATGTAACAATCCTAACAGTCACTAGTGAGATAAGAAAACCATGACCAGGGAACCTGGGTGGCTCAGTCAGTTAAGCGTCTGCCTTCATCTCAGGTCATGATCCCAGCGTCCTGGGATCAAGCCCCACATTGGGCTCCCTGAGCAGGGAGTCTTCTTCTCTCTCTCCCTCTGCCCCTCCCCCTGCTCATGCTCTCTCTCTCAAATAAATAAATAAAATCTTAAAAAAAAAAAAAAAACCCAGAGTAAGTGGTAAACAGAAATAATAAAGAAAAGAGTATTATTAATAGAAAAGAGAAAAATAAGGACAAAATCAGTAAAATCAAAAGCTTGTGTCTGAAAAGTTCAACAGAACTGATAAACTTCTCACCATACTGATCAGAAAAAAAAAAGAAAAAGGAAAGAGAAAATTACCAATATCAAGAATGAAAGGGGAAAAAAAAAATTAAAAAAAAAAATTAAAAAAAAAAAAAAAAAGAATGAAAGGGGATACATTACTGCAGATCCTACAGGTTTTACAAGAATAGGGAATATTATGGACAACTTTTTGCCAGTAAACTTAACAACTTATATGAAATAGATAAAATGTTTGAAAGAGAGAGACAGACAGACAGACAAACCAAGAAACAGACTCTTAACCATAGAGAACAAACAGATGGTTACCAGACAGGCGATGGGGTTGGAATGGATGAAATAAGTGAAGGGGATTAAATAGTGCAGTAGGATGAGCCCTGCTTTCCTTCTCAGTAGGGAGTCTGCTACTCTCTCTCTCACACTCTCTCTTTTTCTCTGCCCCTCCCCACTGCTCATTCATAACAAGTCGCCTAGCCCACACATGAATAATAATGCCTTCACTCAACACCCACTCCTATTTGGTAACACAGAAAAAATAGTGAGATAGTCTTTGGATAATTATTTATACCACTTCTGAACAGTATATTTATTTTTTAAATAATTATATGTAATATATTTCATCACATGGAAAGTTTAATACATTTCTTCATTATAGACAGTTCATTAATATATCTCTTCATTTGTAGACAGCTTTGTAATAAATTTTCTTCTGTAATGTCTACACTTTGTATTTGCTATTTATTTAGTTATAAACCTGATTCATATAATGTAGAAATCTTTTGCATTTTATTTATTTATTTATAAACCAGTGCCACCTATCCTTAGATCCAAAATATTCAATCCATTTATAATCTTTTAATATTCACATAGTTTCCTTTACCATATAAAAATTATTTAGGAAATAATTGGGGTAAAATATAATTATGATACACACTGAGTGGTATAGGAATTTACAACTTCTGGTCTCAAAACATTGGATTAAATAATAATATTAAAGTTTCCTGAGTTGTCACTCTATGATTTATCCCAAATTTGACCTTCCAATCCCAACTAAATCTAAAAACCTCAGTATTGGGGCACCCGGGTGCCTCAGTCAGTTAAGTGTCCAACTTTTGATCTCAGCTCGGGTCTTGATCTCAAGGTTGTGAGTTCAAGCCCCACACTGGACTCCATGCTAGCCATGGGTTCTACTTAAAAAAAAATTTTTTTTAAATAAAAACCTTAATATTAACTAAATCTGAGCGTGGATAGTCAAATCCACATGTTAGAAGCCTCAAATTCTGAAAGCTACCTAAGCAACTGTCTTCATTTTGTGTATTCCTCCAAGTATATAAACACAAGAAACTCAGAGGGCATGAATATCAATACACATATAGATTAGAAGAGATACGTCTTTGAGAATCACTACCAAAGAGAAGAGTATCCAACATTTTGTTTTAATGGAAAATGTGCCCAGTATGTGAGATTTCATATTCTTCTATAATAAACAAGAAAGACACTACATTTAAAGGCTGAATTCACTCTTCCTCAATACTTCCAGGATCCACAGGGTAAGAGTCCTTATGAAAAACTGACCAGATCAGAACAGAGTCCTTGAGAATCTTCACAGTGGACATTAAAATTACTAACTAAAGTGAAAGGATTTATGAAAAGTTTAATTAAAGAGATTAATTTTCAAGAATAGTCAAGATGAATCTGGATGGCTTTGATTGGTCATGAAAGAACTCTTCCTGAAACTTAGAATCTTACCAAATAGTCTCCTCATTGCCATTTTCATCTCCTTATTTCTGAATGTATAGATAACAGGATTCATAAAAGGAGTGATAAGGGCATCAAAGATGGCTAAAAATTTATCTATGGGTAAGGTAGGGAATGGCCACACATAGACAATAATGCAAGGACCAAAGAAAAAGACCACCACAGTGATGTGAGCAGAGAGAGTGGAGAGGGCCTTGGATGAACCACCTGAAGAATGTTTTCGAACAGTGACCAGGATGAAGATGTAAGACACAATCAAGATGAAGAACGTGCCCATGGAGATGAAACCACTGTTGGCAGTGACCAGAAATTCCAGTCTGTATGTGTCTACACATGCAAGTTTGATGAACCGAGGAAAATCACAATAAAAACTATCCATTTTGTTGGGACCACAAAAGGGCAAGTTTACAACAAAAGCCAGTTGGGCCACAGAATGGATGAGTCCAATGGTCCAAGCAACAGCCAAAAGAGAAATGCACATTCTTAGGCTTATAATGGTTAGGTAGTGGAGGGGCTTACAGATAGCAATGTATCGGTCATAGGCCATGACTATAAGCAGCACCATCTCCGTACCCCCAAAAGTGTGAATAAAGAACATCTGAGTAATGCACCCTGTCAAGGAGATGACTTTATGTTTTCTGAAAAGATCATAAATCATCTTTGGGCTTGCAATGCTGGAAACACCCGTGTCAATGATGGAAAGATTCGCCAGCAAAAAGTACATGGGGGAATGTAAGTGATGGTCTGAGATGATCGTAAGCACAATGAGAAGGTTTCCTAGCATACTTGCTATGTAAAATATAGTAAGAAACAAAAAAAGAAGAATCTGAATCTCCCAAGAACTGGTGAGTCCCAGCAACAAAAATTCAGACACCACAGAGTGATTTCCTCCATCCATCAACTTCTTGTGCTAGACCAATCCTGAAGATACCTGAAGAGCATAAGAGGGAGAAAAACATGATTTTTAAGTTGAAAGGGAAGCCTGGCTATAGGGTTACACAAATAATTCAGAAACAGATCCCAAAATATCTGATAATTTAGCGTAGTGCAAAAAATAGTTAAATTGAAAGAGGAAAGAATGGGTCATTTAACACACAGTGCCATTATTATTTTATTCACCTGGAAGAAATTAGAAGTGAACTTATATTTTAAAATATATACAAAAATAATAAAGCACAGTCCTAAATAGAAAATAAAACAAAGTATTGAAAGAAAATATAAGGTGTACATGTATGATCCAGGAGTAAAGGAGATCTTAAAAGCCGTATGTATAAAAAAGTAATAGCTGTGTTTTTTTTTAAGATTTTATTTATTCATTTGACAGAGAGAGTGAAAGAGCACAAGCAGGGGGAGCAGCAGAAGGAGAGGGAGAAGTGGGCCTCCCACAGAGCAGGGAGCCCGATGCGGGGCTTGATCCCAGGACCCTGGAACCATGACCCGAGCCGAAGACAGACACTTAACAACTGAGCCACCCAGGCCCCCCCTCTATTCTTATTTTAAAATAAGATGCCAATGGGGCGCCTGGGTGGCTCAGGCTGTTAGGCTACCAACTTGATTTCGGCTTTGCTAGTGATCTCAAGCCCCATGTCAGGCTCCAAACTGGGCATGGAGCCTGCTTGGGATTCTCTCTCTCCCTCTCCCTCTGCCCCTTTCCTCCCCCGACCCAAAAAATATAAAAATAATAATAAAAATAAATTTAAAATAGATAAAATAAGATGCCAACTATTTTCCCTACCAATATGTTCTATTTCCTTCCTGCCTTACCCCAACACCAATTAAGATAAGACCTTTAAAATACCTTTCTCCCCAACTTCTTACCTCCTTCCTTCCATTTAAATTAAATCAGTTCCTTTTTGTCTTTCTCGAACTTCTAATTATTTTATATATTATGCCTCCTGAGTCCTCCCTGTTTGGTTTCCCTTCATGATTTCTATCTCATTATCTTTACCCTATATGCTTCAAGATACCCATTACTCCTAATCTTCTAGTCTCAAATTTAGATTTCAAGAATAATCATCTTTTGTTTAAATTCATCTCAATAGTTCAGTTCCAGAGGGTCTTGTTTATATTTCCCGTGAATCCCTTTGCATGCTAATATTACTTTTTATTGAAATTAGCATCTGCTTCTTCCAACAGCCTTGTGTCCAACATCAGCCTAATATCACATATACTTAATATATTCTTTACACATATAAATTCTAATATCTGAGATGAAATTTCCAAAATCATCTATATCAATCTGTCTGATTTCAAGATTTATTCGATATATCCAGTCTAGTCTGGTACTGTTTTTACTTCTCTAAACTCTCAGGGATGTAAATGCCACCTAATACATAGTGTCCTTGTTAAGTATTGTTAGAATAATAATTTGACAATAGAGAAGTGCCTAAAAATCTGTGAAGTAAGTAAACATCATGTCACTGGGGTTTGAAGTAAACTATAACTCTGTTACAATATTCTTACGTATTGCTTTATGATAAAGTGATTAAAGAAAAGCTGACTTGAGAGTTTGATTTTTTTTTAGTTTGATTTTTTTTAAGGCTCCAAACTAAGAATTAATATCATCCCAAATATTTTCTGTCACAGTGAAGGTTGGTCTTGAAGACAAGTGAAATTTTCTTTACAAGGTAACAAAGAACTAGAATTTAAAATAAATATCCAATCCTGTTAATCTTTCTATGTATACAGATTTGGTTATTATGTTGTTTATTTAAATTGGTTAATTCATATTCTTTCTATGTTTCTTGTTCTGGAGAGACAGATGTAAAATATTGGTTAAAAGTGAAGAATCACAAACCAGACTACTGGGTTTAAACTTGCCTTATCCACTCCCTACCACTAACCCTTGAAAGAGGATTTCAACTCCCTCCATGTTGACCTCAGTCCGTACCTTCTAATTGATTAAATTCTTCTTTCTAGCTTATCTCTGAATTTAGACAACAGACCCTGCAGGCAAAGCATCCCCTGATGGAAACCAAACGTACCCCCTTGGAGCAACAGGGACTGCCCTGACACCAGCATGACCTTGCATGATTGACCTCAGGACAATGATTCACCGGATCTTTACTGCCCACTGCAGTTACACCCTGACCTCAGATAACTTACTTAATCTTAATTGTGTCTAAGTTTACTCATCTGTTAAATTGAAGTAATAATAGTCTGGCCTCAAAAATTGCTATGAGTAAAGAGCTTAGAACAGTATTGAACACATAGCAAGAATTCAATAACTGTTAGCTGTAATGATGTTATTTTAACATCCTTAGTTCACTAAACTCTTCTGGTAGTCCTAAGTCTCAGACTTGTCTCCCTCATTTTTGTCCTCTGTTCACTATATACATTATTTAAGACCTTGTCTTGTTCTCCTCCTAATGGGCTTCTTTTATATTCTAATTATACCCTCCCCAAAAGTTTGACCACTGTGTGAAAGACAGCATATATGAAAGGGTTTAATACTTTCATTAGAATACAAATGCTAGTTGAATCCAAATAGGTATATCACTCATTCCTTAATTCTATCCTAAACGGTATAGTCTAATTTCCCATAGTCTACTAAACACTGTCACTTAACACTTATATATCAGTCACTATATAAGTGTCTATATAAGTGTCACTTAACACTTATATATCAGTCTTGTGCTTGTGGAATTTCACATGACTACCACAAAGCTAATAATCATCACTTTCCTCCCCATGCAGCTTTTCTTTCAGATCTAGTATAACATGACAAGCATCTTACCCGCTCAGCTCTTCTCAAATCCTCCACTTGCTTTCACTAACCATTACCAAAACCCTACTATACAGGACAACTGATCTCTCCCTATCTAACCTGAATATGGCCATCAGATTACTCTTTCATTGCCTCTGAAAGTACAAAATCCTAATTTAGAAGGTGCTGCTACAATTTGGCTCCATAGCATCTTTCCAGGATGCTTCTATTTTCAAAAAATATTTATTCCTCTTTAATACTATCTGCTCTGTTGCCTATAGATGACTTCCTTCTTAAGTCCCTACATTCTGACAGCTGATGTGAGGCCACTGAGCGAATGGTCAAGAAAGAATTCTTGAGACATCTTCGGTGCAAAAATGTGCTTTTATTATAGCACAGGGATAGGACCCATGGGCAGAAAGAGCTGCACTGGTATTGTGAGGAGTAACTGATTATATACTTTTTAGGTAGTGAGGGTTAGGAATAACATAAGTCTCAAAGGAATTTGTGTATGCTGAAAGCAAGGTCTCCAAGACCTTGGAGAGCCAGCTATTATCAAGATAAGGTTATTCTTTGTTGTTTTAATAAAGCATTAGTCATGAGACCCTTTAGATGTGTGTTAGTGGGCCACATGTTGAAAGATGATTGTTATCATATCCTGGAGGTTTGCAGTTATCAGAGTGAATTTCACTAACCAAAGCAAAGCTATATTGATCGAACATTAAAGAAAATCTTAAGGGAATTGTAGGAGTGTTACACCCTGTATGTCTCAGGGATTTATCAGTGGGCTGCAAGTTGTAAGGAGACTTCATTTTAGCTACAATTCCTTTGCCTTTGTTCCCCTCATCATCACGAAGATCACTAAATACCTTGGAGTAGCTAAATCTTCATCCTTATGATCTCTCTGCATCATTTCATACTGTTCACCATTTCCTACTTTCTGAGAAATATTATAAATAGTGGGATGTATAGAGACTTTGTCATTTTTCTCCCTGTTGGTAATGTCTATTCTATAAACTGGACCTAGTAAGATAATCCCTCAAGTAAGAATTTTAACTAGTCATTAACATAGGAAAGGACCTAAATCCTTACGGATTTACATTCTCATTATGTTGTACACCTGAAACTAACATACTATCATATGTCAGTTATACTTCAGTTTTTAAAAAGACAAAAAGGGTTAGCCAAAAGGAATATTTAAACAAAGGACAGAGAAGAACTGGAGGTAGTAGATGGACAGTGCGAACATTAAAGGAGGCTTGAATTGTCACTCCACGGGGAAAAAATGGGTTAATTTTTTTTTCTACCTGGTTTACAGTTGGATAGAAAAATCAAAAGTTATTCCCTGTACAGGGGCCAGAGACATTTCTGTTCATTAAACTTACAGAAAGATTCGTAAGGAAAAAGTAGTGATCTAAGAACATAGTTAGTAGAATCTCTGATACTAATACAATATTATTTTAAAAGATTCACTTCCAGATAGTTAGGAAGATCATCTTACTTAATTTTCCTCTTTCTGACCATTCTCATGTGGGCACAATTGAAAAAAAAGACTTCTAACTAGAGTCATTAACATATGAAAGGACTTAAATGTCAAAGCTTAGAGGCCAAAGGGCAGAATGTGTCTAAACACACAGTGCATAACTTAACTTCAAATAAATGCAAATGTGTAAATTCTAAAACCTACTTTGGGCATCCTTTTGAGTTTCCTAAATGATTTTCTTCACTCCTCTCCAAACCCTCAGATACAATTTTCTTAGGATGATTATTTAGGAGCAATTACTTTTGCTGAATCCTCAGTATAGATGGAAACTATCATTATCCACTGGATATTGATCTTTTATACATGTGAAAAATGCCAAAGGGGCCATCAACTAAAACTGCTGATCAATGAGTCAGCCATATTATTTTTTTTTTTAAGATTTTATTTATTTTTTAGAGAGCGAACGAGAGAGAAACAGCATGAGAGGGGAGAGGGTCAGAGGGAGAAGCAGGCTCCCCGCTGAGCCGGGAACCCAATGTGGGACTCGATCCCAGGATCCTGGGATCATGACCTGAGCCGAAGGCAGACGCTTAACCATCTGAGCCACCCAGGCGCCCCCATATCATTTTTGTAAACTCTCACACCTCTTCTTAATCTTATTATATCCAGAATAAATACTTTAAAAAAAAAATTTTTTTTGAGTATAGGTGCCACACAATGTTATATTAGTTTCACAAATATTTTTTATTATTAATGGTGTCTTTTTTTCCTCAGCTCTCTTTAACATATTAATAGTTCTCTGATCCTCTTCACTGTCTACATATCATTTCCATTTCCTTAATGTTCTAATGAATCTTGGTTGTAAAACATTGGTAAGAGTCTAATTATAAATATAATACAATTATTTCCTAAATGTTACAAGTCAGACTTCTATTAATTCTGATCTCACATTGGCTTTAGAAAACCTTAATGTTATATATCATATTAGTATTATATATAATAGCTGTACTGCATCCTCTGGAAATAAAGATGCTGTATGTGAGAATATCATTAGTCCTCATGATTAGCCATATGAGTTATAAATTCATCTGAATTAAGAATGTTTCTATTCTCGGGGCGCCTGGGTGGCTCAGTCATTAAGTGTCTGCCTTCGGCTCAGGTCATGATCCCAGGGTCCTGGGATCGAGCCCCGCATTGGACTCCCTGCTAGGCGGGGAGTCTGCTTCTCCCTCTCCCACTTACCCTGCTTGTGTTCTCTCTCTGGCTGTCTCTCCCTGTCAAATAAATAAATAAAATCTTAAAAAAAAAAAAAAAAGAATGTTTCTATTCTCTCACATAATTACAACTAAGACAATTTCTTCAAGTTCTGCCCTACCAGGAATACTGCTATTTTTATTTTGTTTCATTAATCATTTCCTACAGGTTATGAATACCAAAATTTATAACATCATTTTGCTTTTTCTAAAAGTTTGCAACCTCTAAAAACCTTTCACATCTTTTGTTGTACAATACACAGGGAAGAGTGTAGGAAAGAGAATATGATCCATATTTTACAGATTAGAAAACAAGAACTCAAAGAGATTAAATGGACTGCCTAATTTTGCACAACTAACTGTCAAATTCAAGCCCAATTCTTGCAATTGTTGTAAAGATGCAAGTGAATAAAAGAAGTATGTGAAGAAAATGCCAAAATTTTAACAGTTGCTATCTTCCTATGAAGGGGCTGTAGGTGATTTTTTCCCTTCCTTATACTTTCATAAATTTTCTATTTTGCACATCTATTTCTCTTTTTAAAAAATATTAATTTAAAAAATAAGTTGAAGGTACCTGGGTGGCTAGGTCAGTTAAGCATCTGCGTTCGGCTCAGGTCATGGTCTCAGGGTCCTGGGATCAAGCCCCAGGAGGGTTCCCTGCTCGGCAGGGAGTCTGTTTCTCCCAATCCCTCTGCCCCTCCCCTCCATTTGTGCACTCTCTCTCTCTCAAATAAATAAATAAAATCTTAAAAAAAAAAAAAAAAGCAAGTTGACTCCAGAGTCCAGGCTTTCTTCACTACAGTGCTGTGTAAGTCATTGACAACCTGCAGTCAAAAATAAATTGAAGGGGGGGCACCTGGGTGGCTCAGTCATTAAGCGTCTGCCTTTGGCTCAGGTCATGGTCCCAGGGTGCTGGGATGGAGCCCCACATCGGGCTCCATCCCAGCCTGCTTCTCCCTCTCCCACTCCCTCTGCTTGTGTTCCCTCTCTCGCTGTGTCTGTCTTGTCAAATAAATAAAAATAGTAAATAATAATAATAATAATAAATAAATAAAAATAAAAAATAACTTCAAGGGCATGAGGAAGTAGCTTCTACTACTAAGGTACTTGATAGAAGTTCATAGAAGGCAACGTGGGTCTTTAGTGCCTACTTCCTCATCTCCAGCTCTTCTACCATCTACTGTCATACTGCCTTCTACACCTGTTCAGTTATCTACTACCCTCATGCTGTCTCTGGCTGTCCAAGACCTCCACTGTCATTCTTACCCAGATCTAGTCTCTTCTAAGTTCCCAGCCTCCAGTGTTCTCCTTTCCAGACCCTTTTCAATTAAACCATTTACATGCTGAGCCATATCCACATAAAGTGTGTTAAAAAGAACTCAATAGTTACCTGAATTTATATAAATTTAACTCTCATAAAATTTTCATTTTAGTTCTGTATGTCCATGCGCCATGCTTCCTAACTATTCCAGGCTACTCCCAACTCTTCCACTCTCAACCTGCCCTCCTTGAACATCAGAAAGAGACGTCAACAGCTTGGCACTCAACTTCTAAAATGTTGCCTATACCTAATCCTATATCCCTATGGTGAAATTTTCACATGAGAATTGTAGTTTACTGCATTCCATTGTCTGTTTCATCTATGTTGCATCAAAAAAACAACACAGATGAATCTTCTCTGAGCCCTAGAAATGGCTCACATTCAATGCTGAAAATGTCATTAATCCTATTTGAAAAGAAAGGCAGTGGGAACCAGACTCTTACCTGAGTTAGACCAAAGAATCTATTCTTCTCAAATAGTAGTAGATCAATTCCCTCCAAATTTTGTGACAAGATAGAGAGCTTCCATAATGTAAAAACTATAATTTCTAAAAGAGAAAAATAAGAATTAGTTTAATGGATACAGAGAACCAAATGACAGAAATTGGGAGTGTATAAAACAGAAACTGAAAATACCACTTAGGAATTTATCTACCACACACAAAAAAAAAAAAAAAAACTTAAAGAAAATACAGAATAGGGGAATAGAAAAGAATAAGAAATAGAAGAGATGAAATATGCTGTTTCCTCCTCCTAGAACATCCTCTTCTAGTCAAAATCCCACCCTTGATTCATGATCCAGTTTATTGTCCTCCAAATACCCTTAGCAATACCTTCCCCAGTACACTTAGCAAGAGCCATAGTTCCTTCATCTTGATACTCCTCCCCATGCCTTGCCCAGAATACATGTATCACAAATATGTGGAATAGCAATTAAACTGTGTATCAGGTTAAGAGGAAATAATTACTGAGCAACCATTGGAGAGAGACCCAAGAGTAGGTTGGATTAATGTTCAGTCTGCTAAACTGTAAAACATTTGTTTTGCATACATTTTACATGATAGTACTTGAGGTAGAAGCATTTTTCTAAATTCAGGGGAGGACAATTTCGCATTCTGACTGGACTGTAAACTTTTCCAAAACAAAGAGCTTAATATTGTTTTCCTCAAGTAAAAAAGATTCTAATTAGCAACCTTGAATACTAGTGACCAAAATGATGGTGTGAGTCTTGGGAATAGCCAACTTTTCCTTGATTAGATTTTCCTGGGAATTATTCCTTGGGCTCCACGCTGATTTCCCCCCTGGGGAATTAAAAAGGGCAAAAAGGACTGAAGAAAGAAAAGTAGCTTCTGGATACCAGATTTAATGGTGCTTTAGATGGATGTACAGAAATATTTTTGCTTTAAAATGAATCAGTAGAGGGGTGCCTGGCTGGCTCAGTCAGAAAAGTGTGCAACTCTTAATCTCAGGGTCATGAGTTCCACCCTCACATTGAGTCTATAAGTTACTTACATAAATAAATACATACATACATAAACTTTTTAAAAAATAATAAAATAAAAAATAAAATGAATCAGTAGAAGTATCTAAGAAATCCAACACACCAGAATGCTTGAGAAGCAGATAGAAAGGGAAACAGTATTACTCTACTATAGTACTAACAAAGATTTCATGGCAAAAACACTAATCAATGAGAATAAGGAGGTAACAGCAAATGAAAAACCACAAGACAAAAAACTATCTCTCACTTTAACAATTTTGGCTCTCTAGATGCCTTTTAGTCCCACAAAATTCAAAATCCAGGACCTTAGACTACACAAATTTTTCATCAGAGTGCTATCAAGTTATAAAGCAGTCATTACTGGAGTATAAAAGGAATTATGTCAGAAAGTTTTAAAATAAATACACCTTGGGGCTCCTGGGTGGCTCAGTCGTTAAGCATCTGCCTTCAGCTCAGGTCATGGTCCCAGGGTCCTGGGATGGAGCCCCGCATCGGGCTCCCTGTTCAGCGGGAGGCGTGCTTCTTCCTCTCCCACTCCCCCTGCTTGTGTTCCCTCTCTCGCTGTCTCTCTCTCTGTCAAATAAATAAATAAAATCTTTTTAAATTTTTTTAAAAAAATAAATACATCTTTTCCATAAAAGCCTTCCTTGACCACATTTAACAAAAGAGGTTATTATGCTTTTCTTTCATTGTCCTATAATCATTCCCTCTGCTTCTATTATCAGCATCTTTGGGTATTATTGTTTAGGAATTATTTCCTCATATTAACTCTTTTTTTTATTTAAATTCAATTAGCCAACATATAGTGCCTCATTAGTTTTTTGTTTTTTTGTTTTTTTGTTTTTTTATTTGAGAGAGAGAGAATGAGAGAGAGCACATGAGAGGGGGGAGGGTCAGAGGGAGAAGCAGACTCCCTGCCGAGCAGGGAGCCCGATGCGGGACTCGATCCAGGGACTCCAGGATCATGACCTGAGCTGAAGGCAGTCTCCCAACCAACTGAGCCACCCAGGCGCCCAGTGCCTCATTAGTTTTTGATGTAGCGTTCAATGATTCATGTATAATGTATAATGATTCAATGATTCATGTATAACACTCAGTGCTCATCACATCATGTGCCCTCCTTAAGGCCATGCCACCTCCTTAACCCATTTTCCACATCCCCTCACCCATCTCCCTTTCTGCAACCCTCAGTTTGTTTCCCAGAGTCAAGAGTCTCTCATGGTTTGTCTCCCTCTCTGATTTCCTCATATTAACTCTAACAAAGAATTACAATTGATGGGCTCCAACATCACACCCTGCCATAATCTGACCAGTAAAGTCAAGCAAGCAGAGGTACACAGTGCAGAACATATAGTCAATATTTAATAAATATTAATTTTAAAAATATTTGACTAATTTTTCTAATGTAGTTTAGAATAATTTTTTAAATTAATTAATGTATTCAAATGGTTAATCCCTCATAGACATAGCCTTTACAATGATCAGCTGTTAAAAGAATTCCATGAGGTAGAACTATTGTCTAGGTTTTACATATTTGTAAAGAATTTATGGAGAAAATGGACTTTAAAAATCCATCTGTGTGTTATTTAAAGACATAAAGGTATAGAAAACATATATATCTTAATGAAAGAAGATGTTACTTGAGCGATTTATACACAGTGTAGTGTCAATGAGCGAAGCATACAGCTAGTCCATTACACTTCTACACATACATTTACCAACACTTATAACTTAATGAAAGGAGAGGTTAGCTGAAGGGCACATTATACACAATGTGGTTTCAATGAGTTAAGAATATGGCTATGCCCATATGCTTCCACCCATCGGTTTCCAAACACTTGTATCTTAATGAAAGCAGATGCTAGGTGAAGGCCCCTTATAAATACAATGTATGGAATATTACTGAGCCATATAAAAGAATGAAATCTTGCCATTTGCAATGACATGGATGGAGCTAGAAAGTATTATGCTAAGCGAAATAAGTCAGTCAGAGAAAGACAAATACCATATATTTCACTCATATGTGGAATTTAAGAAACAAAACAAACAAGCAAAAGGAATGAAAAAAGAAAGAGACAGGCAAACCAAGAAACAGACTCTTGTTAATTTGATCAAGCAAGAGAAAATTATATACTTATATATCTTCTTTGGAAAAATGTGTGTTCAAGTTCTTTGCTCATTATTTTCAGAAGCCAGTATAACTTTTATTGTCTATAAATGCTACTTCTTTATTAAATATCATAAAAGAACTTTTCCATTAAATGTCATTAGTTATATTCCATTCATAACATGCTATATGCATAATGTTACAGAGTATATATGTAAAAGGCATTTGTATAATTGTTATAAACTTCACGTATTATTTGTCATGTAAATGGTATATGAATCTTAATATACTGTTTTTTTTAAAAAGTATAATTTAACAGTGCCAAAATTTGATAATGATATGTCTAAGTTAAATTTAAGTATGTTAAACAGAAAACTATGGGCAGAGAGAGTCTAGCCTTTCTTCTTAGAAATTTGGAACTTTTTAAAAAATTGTCTAAATAATCTAATTTCTTTTTTTAATTTAATTTATTTATGCTCATGAAGTGAAAACTCAAAATAATCTATGATGTCATCTACTTGTAATTGAATTTTTCCTACATCCCACTGTTTACAACAATGATTTCTTCCACAAAATCTCCCTAGAAATATATTCTCTTAGGACTTTGCCCATTTTTTAATTTGGTATTTGGTTTTTTGCTGTTGAGTTATTTGAGTCCCTTATATAGTTTATAAATTAACCTCTTATGAGATACATGGTTTACAGGTATTTTCTCCCATTCCACAATTGTCTTTTGACTCTGTTGATTGTTGCCTTTGCTGTGCAGAAGCTTTTTAGTCCCACTTGTTTATTTTTGTTTTTGTTACCTGTGTGCTGTTGATGTTATGTCCAGGAAATCATTGCCAAAACCAATGTCAAGAAGCTTTTTTCCTCTGTCTCCTCCTAGAAGTTTTATAGTTTCAGATGGACATTTAAGCTTTTATTTATTTATTTATTTCAGATTTTATTTGTCAGAGAGAGAAAGAAAAAGAGCACAAGCAGGGGGAGCGGCATGCAGAGGGAGAAGCAGGCTCCGCACTGAGCAGGGAGCCCGATGCTGGGCTTGATTCCAGCACCCCGGGATCATGACCTGAGCCGAAGGCAAACGCTCAACCAACTGAGCCACCCAGGCGTCCCAGACATTTAAGCTTTTAACCATTGTGAGTTGATTTTTGTGTATGGTGTAAGTTAGGGATCCATTCTTGTTGTTGTTAACCTTAAAAATAAAGCTGCCATTTATTTTACCAGCAAAAAAATGGGTTTATTTAGGAATAGCAGAGAATTACAATTAGGGACATGCAGTCTATAGCAAAGCCATAGGCGAAATCTGGAGAACAAAGGAGAGGAATACTTTTTTTCGGGGGGGGGGGGGGGGGCGGTTGGGAAGGGCTGTTATAAACCAAAAGTGCATTGAAGTAAACTGGGAGTTCAAACCATAGTGGCTTCTCATTGGCTGAATTGTGACAGTCCCTTGTAGGCTGGGCTGTTGCCCGGGAGGAAGAAACCTTCTTTCCCTCTGCTGAGATAATAAAGTACTATCCAGTGCAAAGACCTTCTTTTTCTGTTGTATTTGAAATTGGCAACAAGTGGTAAGACATGAGAGCTCCACCTATTGGCCTTCTTACTCCATTTTGGTGAGGTTTCCCTGCATTAATTTTCACATTTTGCATGTAGATATTCAGTTTTTCCAACACAATTTGTTAAAGACACTATCCTTTCCCCATTGTGTATTCTTGGCACTCTTGTCAAGGATCAGTTGACCATACACATACATGGGTTTATGTCTTGGCTTTATAGTCTGTTGCATTGTTCTATAAGCCTGTCTTTATGCATACCTTACTGTTTTAATTATTGTAGCCTTATAGTATTTGAAATCAGTAATTTGAAATTAGGAAGTGTGATGCCTCCAACTTTCTTCTTTCTCAAGATCATATAAATGGTCAA